TGTTGTTGTCATTATGAGAGACCTGTCTCACTGACATCAACCTCCTGCATTAATGCCATTACCACAGACCTGTCTCACCCCTCCACTACTCCTCTTTGTTGTTGCCGTTATCAAGGACCTGTCTCACCCCCCTCTACCTCCAGTGTTATTGCCATTACCAGGGAGCAGTCTCACCCCTCCACTACTCCTCTTTGTTAGTGTCATTATCAGGGACGAATCTCACTGCTTCCTCATGTTATTCTAATCACCAGGAACCTGTCTTACTCCCTTCATCTACTGTTTTATTGTCATTATCAAGGACCTGTCTCGCTCCTCCATTACTCCTCTTTGTTAATGCCATTATCAAGGACCAGTCTCACCCCTCCACTACTTCTCTTTGGTATTACCATTATCAAGGACCTGTCTCACCCCTCCACATCCTGTGTTATCAACATTACCAGGGACCACTGTGTTCTGTGAAGCCCATCATTGGGTAATAGAAGGACTGTGGGGCGTGTGTAAAGTTTGGTTTGTTTTGTCTTTTGACCCGCCGAGCCATGCTGGCTGTGGGCCGTTGGTGTGTACCTCCATCCAGACTGCGTGAGTTCCTCTTGCTGGACGTGCGCTGGAACAGAGGAGCCGGCCTGTCGATCAGAGAGCTGGCCTGTCTTGTCTGGGCCTGGGTCCGTCCACTGTAACGAAACTTTGAGCCCAGAGCGAGGAACTTCCTGGGAGTGGTGGCCATCTCAGTGGAGGTCAGCCTGCACGTGAAGGACAGAGGAGCTGACTGAGGCTCCAGAATCATGAGCAGAATGTTATGCTTCCTTCATCACCATGAAGAAGACAGTGTCCTACCTGAAAAAGGTGTGATGTTCAACACACACCTTCCACAGCTTCTTAGCTGCTTTGTAATTGGGCAGTTTGAAGCCAATAGCGCTCTCATACTGCTCGGTCTGCAAGACCAAAAGAAAAACACAATAAATATATTTTTAACAAATCTATTTAAATTAAATGTGCTTGGATGGTGTTCGAGATGAGACTGAGGCGAAGATTTCAGAGGAGGTCTACCTCAGATGGACGGATTTTGATGAAGAAGCTGCTGTGCTTGTACGAGACCTTGAGGACTTTGGGCCAAGGGAAACGGTTGATCCTCAGTTTGTCTTTATAAACCATGAGACCGCCGGAGCAGACCCCGAGCATGATGTCAACACCGTCCAGATCCTGGGAGAGACGCCCCGGAACAACAAAAATAAACACATAAAAGTGTTTATTAATGCCCAACATGATCTATAAATCAACACAAAGTGCAATGCAGCTGTATGTGCATGTAGTGGCTCCATACATCCACAGGGGGGCAGTATCACCTCCTAAAAGCTCCTTGAAACTCGCACATGAACACCATGACCATCTGTGAGCACACTGACCTGATTTCTGGAGTAAAACACAAACAGTCACGTGTCTTCCTGCTTTCCAAGCCAAACAGACAATCAGGCTGAAAACACAGGATTTACACGCACATCTATGATATTAGTGTTCAGGCTGCGGCTCATTCAGACACGACAAACAGAAACAGTCGCTCCATACTCTTTACTGGAATCAATGTTCAATGTCTGTTAGCAAAATATCTCAGAGAGTAGCTATTGGCTGCACAGCTAATCCTCTGACCTTTCTCATCATAAGATGATCTCAGGATAAACTCTGGAAGGTGATAGGCATTCATTTAACAAATGTTGGTCTTTAATTTACTTATTTGTTTTTATTCTTGTAAATACAGTTGTTTTTTTTTATTTTAGTCTTTGTTAGTTTGTTGTTGACAAATCTGTAGAAGGTGAATGGGATATTAAAAAGACCCCAAAGGCTAATAATAATAATAATAAAATAATAATTGAAATATTATTATTTGATTTTTGTTTTGTTTTTGTGTGTTCCTGGCGATGCTGATGTTTGATTAAATATATGAGCAGGGCCTGAAGAAGTGGCTTCAGATTCACAATAATGATGATGCGTTCAAGGCTGGTGAAAAGCTGGGACATCGGAGTCTCACCAGAGAAGTTAGGGATCACCAGAGACCAACACATTCTTAATCTGTCATTTGAGTTTTAAATGTGTCCAAAACATTTGTGCTACTTATTTACTTATTTCTCTCTGATGTGCTTCTGTCCTCTTCTGGTTCTCCTCAGGGCTAAGTTCTTTCGCCCCTTTTATTCATTTTATATACAAACGATTGCCGCAGCCGTTTCCCACAGCGCCACATTTTAAAGTTTGCTCCTGTGGTCATTAACGGTGAAGCTGATGAGGTGGTGCAACAATCTGGGAACTGTTCTTGATGACAAACTGACATTTGACCCCCATGTGAACTCACTTTGTAAGAACGCCACCAGATAACGTATTTTAAACAGAAGCTCTGTGGTTTTAATGTTGATTCTACTTTTATGAGAATGTTTGATTTAGTCTCTTAACATGTGAACAGCTAGTTTTGGATGTCACCAGCAAACTGGTTGATCCACCATGAGAAGGTGCTGTTTATAAGATTGAGTTTGTTGCAGCTCCTCAGACTGAAGAAGTCTTCTGGATAAAAGACGAAACGTTTCAACAAGAAGAATCCGTCCAGAGGACCTGACCTTGTTAGATTATTGAAATATAGTTTTGTGTGACACCTCATTAGCAATCAGAGGCACCAAGGAGTCTCCAGTCCCCATAATGACCGCACACAAACAAGAAACTCTCCTAGGGTCAAGACACGTGGACGGTGAGTTTTATCACCAGAAGCACACCTGGATGGTCCAGGTCAGGCTGCTGCTGAGCCTCCCTGCAGCACACCTGTTGTTTGGTCTCTGCAGCTCACCTTAGCATGGTGGAGGTCCACTCCGTACATGGAGAGCTTTTTGGCATTCTCCAGGAACATCAGGTCAGCTTGGGCTGGACTCATTGATCTGTAGGGACACCCCCACCCCCAAAGAAAAAGAAAAACTGAAAACAAATGTGTATTTTTAGGAAATTGGTCTTAAAAACTATCTAATGTACCATTACGTTGTTAAATCCTGTTGCATGACTGAAGGTACTGCAGTGTTTTTAGGACACAGTTGGTAGAATTAAAATGACTTCCTTCAGCATGCTTCATTAGAATCACTCTCTATGAAGTCTGGAGCTGTTTTCAAACAAGCAGCACAAACTAAGTTGTACTTTTACCTTCCTTTAGCTGACACTGTGAAACCCGTCCCACCCCCAGGGGCTGACCTGTACGTATGATGCAACTCCATCATCTTGTCCTCCAGCTCTTTGGTCTGACCGGGGGCCATTTTCATGTCCTTGGCATATTCGTGTCCATGGAGCTCAGGGTCATACTCGCCCAGCTCGGACTGCAGGGCGTAGGAGCCCAGCAGAGCCAGGGTGACAAAGGAACAAGGCAGGCGGCCCTGTAGGATGTCCTTCCTCAGCTGTAAACACAGGTAGTACCTGACGAGTAGAAACATAATCCTCAGTGAGCGCAGCGTCCTGATGTTTATTTAGGATTAGCAGTCCTAAAAGTTTAACAGAAGACTTCTGTTGTTTTGTGATGACTTCTGCTGATCAATCGCCCTGCACCCAAAGCTCACTCCAGCACCAACATTACAGCAGAACACAGGAGGCTCGGCTGGAAACTCTACCTAAAAATAAACTGTTCACTGACTTTAATTTAAAAAAGACTAATTAAGTTGGAAAGAAACGTGAATACACAATCCATGGCATGCAAGTAAAATGAGTACAATGGAAGGAGAGTGAGTTAAATAACAAAAATAGGTTTTATGCTAAAAAACGAGCTAAAAATAAAACAGTTCGAGACATTTTTTAAACATTGGACTTTACAACATAAGAGTCCCTGTTTATACTGAATTTTAAAACAAGTTCATAAAAGAAACTTAGGAATTTACGAAAAATGCAAAAAAAAAAAAAAATTTAAAAAAGAAAGCCATATTTGCAATGTCCTGATTTATGCTCAATAATCCAGGTAAAATCTCATAAACCCATATTTTGTTTCCAGTAGAACATAGTCAACGTCAATTTATTAATGTAGGCAATAAAAACAACAAAAGTTGACCAAGTGCTTTAAAAATGTTGTCAAATTAAAATGAAAACAATAAAAACAACAAAATACATTGTGTATCACAAAGGAAACACAAGAAAGTTAACATCAAAATACCACACACAAGAAAAATCAGCTCTAACTGGTGATCAAACTCTACCTAATCAAATACCAGGGAAAACAAACAAGTCTTGGGAAAAGAGTTAAAAGTCTCAACAGTCTCAGCATTCTTTAAATAATCAGGTAAACTATTCCACAATTTGAGTGGAATCGTCTATACAAAGTGGGAGGAATCGTCTATACAAAGTGGGAGGAATCGTCTATACAA